GTATTTTTCTCAAGTAAGTATTATGCTGCAGAGCATCTGAAACTGAGTCCCATCATAACTATATAGATTGTCCAGTAGGAAAGATAAAACTCTTGATATGACTCCCTCTATAATATATTCATTGGACTTATTTTGTGTTTAACATTCAAATATTATTTGTACACTAATACAAACATGAGATGTGAAATTTTATTATTTCACAAACCAAAGGGTTACACATGGAGGTAGGATAATGCAAACTGGGAATAATCTGGTAATAGTAACAGCAGCACCAGCAACCTGATTGTTTAATTCCTTGTATTTTTTTAAACAAAAATTAATAATTTTTACATTGCTTGTAATTTTTAAATTCCTTTTCCTAATTTAAGGAAAATTATAATGAAATCAAGTACAAAGGCATATGTAATGTCCTAAAAGACAAAAGCTGAGATCCTTAGCGTTACAAATTAACATATAGGTCCCTATATCATTTAGGGAATTGAATATCGCTGTGACTGGGGTGTTTAGGAAATGGACAAATCAAGCCAGTTTCAAGCTTCAAAAGAAGTACTGATGTTCATAGCAGTTCGTGTTGCCAATAGCTCTTAATTACTATCAATCATTATTGCTACATACACGAAACAATTAGTCCTTAACAAACCTATCCCAGATGAGATGCGAGCACACAGCACAGTGTAGGTGGTGCTGCATAGTTAGTGCTGATGGCTGCACTCTTTAGTAGTCCTGTCACCAGGACCAAGGTTATCTGGCTTGAGAGCTCCTTGCAGGCAGTTTGCCGCCTTCTTTACTCAGATTATATTTTATACTCTTTGTCCCCAATCCAGAAGAAGAGGAATTTATCTCATCTGCTCTTGGTGTCTTATTTTGGGGATTGAGACTTGTTCTGGTTTTGCTTATTCTAAAGGTGCCACCAGACACCTTTCTTGCCTGCTCTACAGGATTGTCTTGGTTTTACCAGGCATCTTTCCACTTCTGTTTTGTTGTTTGGTTATTTGGTGACAGGTTTCCAATTGTCCTTTCTTAGTAAGCTTGACTCTGCCTATTTAGTGAGGCTTTAAGAAAATAGCTGGAGTGATCTAAGAAACTATAAGCTGTTCTGGATCACTTCAGTTGCTGTGAAAAATCATGAAATGAGTGTTCCTGAAATATATTTCTTGCCACATGAAGGGGAACACAGGCATACAGGTCCTATGAGCCACTGATTTCCCCATCCCTGGAGGTGTTCGAGTCGGGTCAACATAGCGCTTAGGGATATGGTGTAGTTGGGAACTGTCAGTGCTAGGTTAATGGTTGGACTGGATGATCTTCAAGGTCCTTTCCAACCTAGCCGATTCTGTGATTGAAGTAAAATGACTGAAGCTGCTTCCTGTGGCGCAGATACAAGTTCTGCTTTTGAGCTATCTCAACTATCATCCAACCCTTAAATGCAATCTGAAATAGAACCAGTGTGTGTAAATGAAAACAGCAAAGATTTGAGGTTTAACTGTAAGTGGATAATGTCTGCCTTGGTATAGCGTCTGCTATCTCACTTTAATCCAGACCTGTAAATCTGTCAGAGCCTTCAGTATCTGATGTGCTGTGAAATACCTCTGTGCTTCACTGTAAAATCCATGGTCCTCAAACAGATGCCCAGGCTCCTCATATAGTGCTGAGAATGGGAGTTCACAGGCTCCAAAAGCTGACTCAGTAGCCACCTCGTTGAGGCTAGAGGATTATAAAGTAGCATCCCAGTGTGGTGCTTCTTCTAGCATTAGGTACTTCGTGCAGATTAGGCCCTTTTCTACAGGAGCAAAATGGGAGGCCAGACGTACTCCGTCACAAATTCATTCTCCTGCCTGGGAGACTGGAGCTGAGGTTTGGGTTTTTATCATACTCTGCCTCATTTACCACAGAACTTAAAATGAATACGAGGATGGAGTTTATCTTCGATTTACTCTTTTGAATCTCTTTTACTTTGTAAAAATAACTATTTACTGGAGTAGAACTTAAAGCCGACATTCCTGCAGGCAGTGCGAGCACGTTAATGGGTACTGTATCTCTGCGGAGCAATGAATGTTCAACGACATGAGGCAGAACTCTCCAGAGAGATTCCAATGTATTCCGTTTCTTGAGGACGGGGTGTACCGAGGTTGCTTTTCACTTCTGTTCGGCGGTAGGAGCCCGCTATTTCCGCTCTAGGCCTCACAGGGCCCCGAAGACAACCTCACCCCCGTAACTCCATCCCACGGACGTAGAGCCAGAGCTCCCGACCGCGCAGGGCGCCCAGCCC